AGCCATATTTCCAGGGTTCCTTTCAATCTGATACACAGTTTGCACAGTTCATGTATATTCAGTTCTCAACATCAGCATTGTGACCAACCGGTTGCTCTTTTCTGAACTTTCTGTGTTTCTACAGCTTTCTAATACTCGAAGAGCATGACAAAACCCTAGATTCATTCTTGGATCTGCAATAGAGAGGGGCAGAATCCCCTCAATGATCCAAAATGTAACGTTTCTGCATATGAAGTCACAATCATGTTCTTTCTTAAATTAGTTAAAATTAAATTAGTTAAACAGCTAAAACTCAGTGATAAAATTCCAAAACTTGCATAATTGGGACCTAAATCTTTGAATAGCATTCATAAATGCCATTGAATACACAAGTTCTATTGGATTTTAAGCAGAAAGTTTTTTAAAAATCACAAAAGCTATTTACAATATAAACACTAACGACAGTGCACACAAAGTATTTAGATAATAGACCATATAGTCAGGACTGATATAGTCAAGACTGTAGTAGGGATGGGTTGAGAAGAGCACCCAAAGGAGATAAATATCCCTGATCTTTGCCAGCTGCTACTTCACCCACTGCCACCCAAAAACTGGAGCTGGACATCTGCAGCAGTGAGGTAAGTAGGAGACAGCTGTGGCTGCAAAGTACCTGAGATGGGAACCCAGAACCAAAGTGCCTTGATATGGGCCTGGTTACCAAGGCTGACCAGACTTGAACCTTTTAAATTTTCTTTTTGTTTATTATGCTGCCAAACAACTACTTTGTTCTACAGAAATGGTTTTAGCTATTTCTAAGACCAAGATTACTGGAAAACAGAGCTGCATCCAAACACTGTGGATGAATGAAGAGAAGCAGGGCAGCACAACTGTGTGACTGTTCTCATTTCACATGAGGGAACACTACACAGGGCAATGCTAACGGGGAGGGCCAAAATCTCTCAGTCAGTCCCCTTGTAAAATTTGCCCTTGGGAAAAGGCAGATCACTAAACACTTTAAAGTAACAATGATAACTATTTCTTACGCATCAATAAGCCTTAATATGAACATAAGGTCTTACACAAGTATAATCCTGAGGCTAGAGAGCTATTTAAGCTATTTAAAACCCCATATAACTCTGGGCAAGTTCTAAATTTTGAAAAATCACTTGGAATTTGTTCAAGACCTGTCTCAAATGTCTCTGATTTTGCCACTGGTACTGTTAATGTTCCCAAGTGGCAAAACACTTCCTAAACCCATCTACACTCACCAATGTAGTTATGCAAAACTGAAGATTTAAGAAAGCTCCAAAATTTTGGAGGTGTGGGGTTTTTTTGTTGTTGTTGTTTTTTAAGGCAGTTGTCCTTTCAGGCTTTCAGATGCATCAGAATCTAGAAATCAACCACTATTTACAACTTTACAGAACATACAGAATATATACCCTTCTGGTTGTGCAAGACTACCAAAATATTTGTATGAAGCACTAACATCTCACATCAATGATCAATACTTAATGAAAGACTGCAACTTTTTAGAGAGGAAAATACAAAGCTAAATGATCTGCAAATAATGTCAAACCTGAGAAAAAGCTGAGGATGCTGCTATAAAGGTATGTTTAAATTCCTTACGTGTTATAATGTAATCTTGTGTAAGAGTCTCTGCTTGTCTCTCTTTTCGTTTTGTTTTGACCACGCATAATTTTGCTCCCCTAGGAGGAAACATACAGCAGTTCAGTTGGTCTGTTTATGTCAAACAGAAACCATTTTTTATTCAAGACATAGTCTCAACAAAATTATATAGCACGTTAAATATTAATGAATGTGTGTATCTTTGCCTGTCCATGCACATGTGAAGGAGGGTAGAGAGATCAGTGTTTCTGTTATAGAGCAGTTTGTATGACATGCGGAAATAAGGGTGGAAGATTCATTTCACACTTCATTTGTCCACAGTACTTGTGGCGTGCACATTGAAAGTGCCTCTCTCCAAACACGGGCAATGATTTGCTCCCAGTTCTCTTCCTAAGCAGCAGAGGCGGCAGTTATCTAACTAGCGGTGTCTGTAACGCTGCAGCAGGAAAGACTGCATAATTATGCCTGGCTGCAGCAGGACTGGTAATAAATAAACTGGTGGTATTTTCCTCCTCATGACAAGTGCCAGGAAACAAACTGGGCACAAAACTGAGATAGGGCTCTTGTGGTCTGTGCCGAGGAGACTCAGGCTGGCCTCTGGAGAGGGGTCCAAACAATGATGACCAACTCTCTTGTTCTCTAAATTGACGAAGACCAGAAAAACACACCTTATTTCTGATAATCTGGCAAATCAGAGTTTATCTTCACATCCAAGTGTCCAGGTCACAGTAAGTATCCAGAAACTGTGAACTGTAACACAGTATGGTTTTGGATACCAGTGAAACAAAGGTGAGCGCATATAGGGGAAGAACATCTTATTCATACCACTTAGTACAGATGAAGTGTGCCTCTCCCCTCTGCTGCCAGGAAGGAAGCATGCCCCAGTTCTCCAGCCAATCCAGACGGTAAAAGCAAATTAATTGCAAAAGAAGTATTTATAGACTAGTTAAGTCCTCCTCTTTTCATTCCAGGCTGACAAGTCACCTTCTGATGAATCACTACCACCTTTTCATTAAATGTACAGGCAAAATCCACACGGGGGGGAGAAGACTAGAAGAAAGATGGGAATGTGCTTCCTTGGTTTGCCCCTTCTCAAATTGGGTCTTCCAGTGTTACTTCACAGACACTGAAGTTTAAGCTAATGATTTTGAACAAGAATTTTACTTCAGAAAAAAAAAAAAAGACATCAAAAATATGACTAAATACAATAAGTATCCTTTCAATAACAGCACATCAGCAACCTCCAAGAGATCAGATGAAAAGTTGGTTATTCTTACTGCAGATTTCATGCAATTAAAAAATGAAAATGTTTGTAAATTCAGGTAGAACAGCCAGCATACTGCACCATGAAAAGCCCAGAGGAAAATGTGCCGCTTTTCAGAAACAAACTGTTTTGTTGTTTTTTTTTTTCTTTCTACTGTTACTAAATAAGTTAAACTCTGCAAAACAGATGTTACTAAACCAGTTTTTCTTATTTCTTAGTATAATCATAGAACCACAGAATCAGGCTAAATTTGAGAAAAAAATAATGTTCTTAATCATTAATCACGATTACGTACCTCTGGCTTTTGACAGGATCATAGTACACTTTGGCCAAACCATTTCCTGTACCAACCATGATCTGGTTCAGCTTGGGATGCCAAAGGCAACGCACAACACTCTGAAATAAAGCAACATATTGATAGTTAGTTGGTGATTCATCTAGATCTTAGAATTAATATTCATATTGTCAAATAGTGGATCAAAGTCACAATGCAGCAGGAACAAGCTTAAGCACATGAACAAATATGTGAATGTATAAAAGTTCCTCTCCAGAGCAGAATACAATGTAAAAGGAGTGACAACACATGGATGTAGGCAGAGAAGGAAGTACAAATTGGTGGCAGCGTGATAACCAGTAGTTTCCACAGGCTAACTGCTCCAGGGTCTTCGTGGGTATAATGCAAATGGCAAGTTAAAGGGGGATTTGAGGGAGAACAATGCAGTGCTTCAGATACAGCAATGCAGGCCTTCACGACTTTTGCACTTTTATTTTCAATTCTTAATTCTTCCACCCTGTTCTGTATCTGTTTTTCCCTTCTTCTTACACATGCTGACCTTTCACTCACTGACTGCAGAAACGGAAGAGTTGCTGATTTTCACTCTTGGTTCTTTCTTCCTTACAACAGCCATAAGGACTCGGTATTTGATGCCAATGTCTCACAGCTCTGTCACCCTTCTGGTCAGCAGAGAAACTCATTTTCAGACATTAAGAGTACTGTTCTTCTACAGACACAGCATGATTCTCCATGTGGCTCTGAATCTCCATGTGACTACTGTATTCAGTCTGATTTAGCAGACCAGCACAGAAACTCTGTAAGACTCGAGCTTCTGACTCAAGAGAGCCAAAGAAGTGGGCACAATCTGCCATGAAGGACAATACATCTTAACACAAATGCAAAACCTGTATGTGCATCTGACTAACTAGGGGAAAAAAAGTATCTATTTTTGAGAGCTAGTAACTCTTTAAAGGGATACTGTCCAAGTCTGAAGACAGGTCTTTACAGTGTTTGTGTTACCTATGTAATAAATGCATGCAGAGCTAGCAGGATGCACCATCCTGTCAGTATTTCACTAAACAATGATCTTTTTTCTAGTCCTTTTCCCCACCCCAAGCTTACTACTTCTCCTTTCTCAAAAAACAGGAATAGACTCTTCTCAAAGTGAATTAATAATTCAATATTCCACCGCTATCATCCATCTATCATTAAAGTATCTATAGATATACGTTTTTCCTTTTTACATAATACAGCACATGAAATTGACAAAATGGGAACCACTAATATCTTAACAAGAGAAATACAGCAAAGCTAAAACATAATTAGGGGTGTGATACAGCCCTATAACTTGGGAGATGAGATCATCTAATCTGGAAGAGAATGGTTATGTACCAGCTCTAGTGACTCCTGAATCACTTCCCATCTCATGTTCTCCCATTTCTGGTTTGGTCCAGATCCCTTTTTTTTTTTTGAATGTTATGAGGCACAGAACATGAAAAGATTCTGAAGCCCATTCAGCCACCATGAATCAGAACTTCATTTTACTACAAGATGATGGATGACTCTCTTCTGAGCTGTTTTTCTGCTTTGTGTTCTTATTTAAAAAGAAAAATTGAGTGAGACGAGTTTACATGAATCAACTGACCATTCTTTACAAGGTTCCTCTGTAAAACAAATGTATATGTCTTCTACAAAGACATATATAAGACATTATACCTTCTCATTTACTTACAGGTACAAATAAACCTGGCTTGCTTATTATGAGACAACTAAAGGACAATCTTTTTACAGGTAACTCTGAAGTACAAAGTAGAATTCTGATAATGCATTACGTCCATGTCCCTGCCACAACCGACCAAAATAACCAATACAGGGTTGCTAATAAGTTGTTTGATTTAAGTAAGAGATTCTTACATACTGTTATGTAATGCTCAAAATGCTACGGTAACTCTAAAACACACAAAGCTAATAACAAATGTTGAAGGTCAAAGGTGGGTGGCCTTTTCTTTTATTAATATTTATTGCATGTGTTTAGCCAGCCTTTTTAAACTTTGTAGTTAATGTGGTCCTCCACTTTCTACTGTCAAGTAGATGTATTTTATAGCATGGTACTGGATACCAGCCAACAAAAACAAAGCCTAGACAGCGTGGCTCAAGCACTGATGGGGATTGCTACGTTTCTAACTTGTCAAACATGCAGAGCACACTTAAAACCATCATGGCACATGCTCCAAAGCAGGCAAAAGAAACTGCCATTAAATGCAGCCCTATAAATCTTATAAAACCGTAAAACGTCTCCAGAATATAATTTGTTGAAAACTGAACAAATACAAGCTCTGAATATGCATGTAATTTCATTAATCCACTGACATATAAACCTACTTTGTAAGAAATAATAAAAACTACTTACGCAATTTTCAGATTATTTTAGAAATGGGCAATATTTTAAAAAGACCAAAATACTGAATTCCTGAACTAAAATCCTAATAGTTTTTCCCAGTCATATAATCCTAAATAAGTAAAAGTTCTAAAAAACTATACAACAAAGGGATCATTGTAGACTAGGTCTCAACTGTGGGAGTGAGGAGGAAAGGGGAATCTTTATCATACAAAAATAATTAGTTCTTAAAGAGCATTTATGCTTTGATGCCTCTAACTTTCCTACTGTTTACACTTATAATAACTCAGGTAGACATCTTTATCACTGGAAATGCTAAACATCAAATTCCACCTCAAAGAAAGTCCTACCTCCCAGCTCTCCAGGCAAATAAGAGTGTTAACAGCAGGAAAATAAAGTGTTTTCCTGTCTTAGCTACCTATGCACATAGGTAAATACCCACCTACTGACACTGAATTTTACACCATTACAGAATGGTTGTGGTTGGAAGAGAGCTCTGAAGATCATCTAATTCAACCTCCCTGCTCCGAGCATGGTCAACTACTACAGGTGGCTCAGGACATTGTCCAGTTTGCTTTTGAGTATTTCCAAGGCTGGAGACTCTACAGCCTCTCTGGGCAAGCTGTTTCAATGTACGAACACCCTCACCATTAAAAAAAAAAAACAAAAAACCAAATAAACGAACAACCAAACAAAACAAAACCCCCAAACCTTTTTTTTATGTTTAAGTGGAATTTCCTGTAATTAGTTTTGTGCCTATTGCCTCTTGTCCTGCCACTGGGCACCACTGAGCTTTGCTTTATCTGCTTCACCCTCCTGTCCCCCTTCAAGTATTTATACGTAAGATCGCCGCATCTCCTCTTCTCCAGGCTGCGTGATCCCAGCTCTCTCAGCCTCTCCTTCTGTACCAGATACTCCAAGCCTTAATCACCTTTGCAGCCCTTCACTGGACTCACTCTAATACGTTCATTTCTCTTGGACTGGGAGCTCAGAACTGGACCCAGCACTACAGATGTGTCTCACCAGGGCTGTGCAGAAGGGAATAATGGTCTCCCTCGATCTGCTGGCAATGCTCTTTTGCCTGATGCAAATGCCCATGGGCTTCTTGCTGCCACTTTCTGTTTCTCTGAGATGGAAAGGGCATCTGCCATTCCACAACCACTTTTTAAGAATAACTTGTTTCATTTTAAGGTTGTGCCCTGCAATGGAACCCAACACAGACAATTTAATTGCCCCTGTGACAGGAGCTCAGGCTGGAAGCAATAACCTCAGCAGTTAAGAGCAAACCGCAAGCTCTCACTCCACTTACCAAGGTGTTTTCATGCTTGGTAAGAGAAGTAAAAGAGCAGGGAATTAAGTTGCCTAACATTGCTTTATGGAAATCTAACACAAAAGACTTGACTAACCGTAAGTACTGGTTGTAAGGAAATCCTGTGGATGACAGCTTCAAGACTCAGAAAATACGAACACCAGAACAACAACAAAAAACTTCAGTTAACTAATTCTAGATTCAAACATTCAACACAGAAAGACTTAACCTGTTTCTGATAACATTTAAAGCTGAAACAAGACAAATCTACGTAGACTCTGAAATCCAAAGAATTCCAGGTCATATCTCAGCTTTGCAAATGGAAAATAATGTCTTATTATAACAAATAAGAATAATAAAATGTAGAACGTATCATCACATAAACATCTTCATCATATGAAAAAATTATTTCTGTAATGGCTGGATGTTTTGGACAGTACATCTTTGGAGCATGAAGTCCTGGAATCCTGTCATAAAAATGCTGAAAACAATTTTATCCATGGAACTGATGTGGCCAGCTTCGTGACTGTAAGATCTGAAAATACAGCACTTGCAAAAGACAATTTACTAGTAACGACTTAAAAGTTGTTTGGTACTTTTGCTGTTGCAAAAGCATTAAGTTCTTCAAACGAAATCAATCTGAAAAGCGTTTGGCAATGTCTATTGCATATACACACACAGTAGCCTGCATTGGGAAATACTGGGAAAAGATTGTGAAAATATTTTTGTGAAGTCAGGCAGGAAAAATATTAAAAATGTTAATAGAAACACCCCACATTTACCTTCTTCATTGTCACTGTGAAAGAGGTTAGAACAGATTCAGTGGGTGTTATTAATAGCAGGCCTTTGTAATTATTTTCAGGTAACAGATTGTCTTGTAATACTGACTTAAACTGAAAGTCAATTAAGAAATTATCTACACAATTTTAAAGACATCTTTTTTTGCAATCTGGATGAAACTGTTTATCTTCTTAAACAACTGCATAATAAAATACAGACATATTACTGATTGTTATTAAAACTAGCCATACCTTTTTCTAAAGTCAATATACTACTGTTTTAAATAGAAAATACGAATTCCCCAAACAATATATAATTTTTACTTTATTTTTAAACTAAGCACTATACTCACTTCAGACTTCCAGTTCTTTTAAAATCAACTCCAGTTTTAGAAAATTTTACGTATAATAACTTAAAAGCTTAATAATATGTGGTAATCTTAAAATGTAAAACTCAAATACATAGAAAGGTGGCAGGCAAAAATGATGATATCGCTATTCCCTCGTGTGCTATTCCATCCGCATTTCTTCTGAGACATGTGCAGTCCCAGCTCACGTGCAATTCTGGGGTGGTTCATAAACAGTCTCACCCCTCTAAGAACAATCTGTTCTCAGCTGTGTGTTTCTCTTTGTTTC